AAAATTAGCCCGTGAATCTTTTATAGGTCTACAACCAAATTTATCACTAGTAGTGAAAACATCATTAAAATCCCCTCCTACCATCCAAGGTCCTATATGGTTTTTACTAATTTGTTCTAGATTATCCCACATAGTATTTCTATTATGAACAACAGTGCTAGCATAGATTGTACTAAAGAGCCAATGTTTACGTATAGGTAGTACCTCAATTGTTGCATGTATTTCCTGGTTCCTACGAACGAAGTTTTGGACGGTCACCACCTCATGGTTGTATAGAATGACAATCCCTCCTGCTTGGCCTTCTGATGGTACTTCTATCATTTCTGTAAACCCAAATCCATCAAGCAATTCCACATGATTTCCCATTCTTGTTTCCAGTAATGCTACCAAGCAAGGTCTGTGAGTGTCGACCATTTCTCTGAAATTTCTCCTAAAGTTCTCATTGTTACCTCCTCTTATATTCCAAATAATAATATTGGTGGGACGATTCATGGAAGTACTAAGATTTTGGTTTGGTAGTTCCCCGTTTTCCCTCATATTCCCCAAAATGGGGTTCCTCCTTAAGGCTGGTACTAATATCATGGCCCTGTTCCCCACTGCAGGATCCTAGGGTGTCCTGATGTCCATCGAGCATTTGTATAATGCTATAGGCAGTTGAGAACGTGCCTCTTCTCCTGCATCTCCGAGAAGAGAAATACCTTTACCCCGTCTAGGTTTGAGAACTCTAGGATTTGTTCTAAGATTATATTGAGTGGTTACTCTTCCTCCATTTCTGCCTCTACTGGTTCTTGGTTTTGGGCTGGGGGGTGAGGTGGTGATGGTGGTTGTTGGTGTGGTTGAGGGATGTATTGCTCTTGGGCTGGTGGAGGATTCTCCCAAGGCATGAAAATGGGGTTGAGGTCGATTAGTGTTTCCGGGATAAAGAATGGCATGTCTAGTAGAACATTCTGGGGGTATATGGGGTTGAAGTGGGGGGTAAGTTCCACTGGTTTTTCATTGCATGTACCAGTCGGGGGTTCACTGAGGGAGCTAAGGGTTGTAGTATATTGTTTAGCCACATTTGGTTGAGGTAATTGTTCATAGCTAGTCTCATGCCCTCTATTACTAGCTGAGCCAAATATTGAGTGTTGTGGAGGATCACGACTGTGTCCTGGCCGTTGATTTGTAGGTTGAAAGATACTGCATGGCCCATTAGTCCCATTTCCATCCATGATATTGGTTGATAATCTTGTGCTTGCGGTGGTTGGACATATATTATCTGAGGGTTTTGTACTGGTTGAGGGAATGGTGGAATATTCTCCATGGCAATTGCTCTGTGTTGCCTTAGGATTTGTATCAATCTGGGATGTCTCCTTATAGTTAGAGGGAATCTGGGCATTTTGAGAAGGCTTAGGGATATCAAACGTTGCTAACTCAAGCGTGGGAGGGGGCCTAGGGAAGGGTTGAGAGGGATTGGGTGATAGGGTAATGATTTGGGGTTTTTCTTGCATGGCTTTTGGATTTCCAATGCCATGGTTTATAGGTGTTTCTTCCACCCGAGTAGTATCCATTGCTTCAGTAGTTTGATTGGACATTTGTAAGCCATGGCCATCACATTTTGCCATTTGGCTTACATGCTCAGGTAGGTCAACATTATGAGATCCCAAGGCTTGGATTTTGTCCAGATTTTTAGTTAAAGTGGTGTAATTACCAGTTGGGGTAGTTTTGTTGATATGTCGGTGGGAGAGTGTTGTATTAATAGGGAGGGTACTACTGTCATTTACCCTTAGTTCATGCATGGGATTATTATCTTTTTTTGTTAATTGAGATACGTTAATATCCAGCATGGCACAGTCTCCGTTTGTGTTGGACATTTGTGCCTCTGCATGGATGTTGTGCTTATCATTAAGAAAATTACTTACTTTGTTTATTTCGTAAGTGGTTTCTCCCAAAACCATGTGCTTATTTTCAAGAATATTAAAATTGTTCTTAATCAGGAGGGGGTGGTAGTTTTGGCAACTGTTGCCGGATTTTTGATCAAGACATTATTAACCTTAGTTTGATCTATTTTTGAATCCTTTAGAATTGTGTGATCTTTAGGAACCTTTGATTTGTATTGTAGATATTTAGTATCAAGGTACTTACCTGTGCTAGTATCAAACATTTTAACCGGGATACCTGGACCTTTGGGGTTGTGGATTGGCTTGGTGTTGTTTTGATGAGAGTTCCTCTGGGCTGGCCTCTTTCCCTTGTTGAATGAGACTGTTGTCCATTCCTCTTCTTATTTTTCCATGGTTGAGTTAGTTGCTGGTGCTTCAGTACCCTCTTTGCATGTTGTGGCATTTAGTTTGACAAAAGAGCATTGGTTTTTTGTGTGTCCCAACCTACTACAGATTGTGCATAGAAAGTTCTCTCCCTCATAGTGGATTTGTTGTTCGTGTTTTCCCACGTATAGGAATTGTTGAACTGGTATTTCTAAGGGTAGTTCAATGCATAGCCTTGCATATCTTCCCTTTAGTGTAGTTGATGTACAAACATCCACCTTTAGTAATCGACCAATTGCATTGCCAATCTTTCGTAGTATTTCTCCATCATAGAATTCCGTAGGCAATTGTGGTAGTCTAATCCAGAAGGCCATTGTTGTGAACCTTTCTTTAGAGGCTACAAAGTTTGGTTTCAATTTAGTAATAGAGAGAAAATGTCCATTGATAAACCAAGGGCCTTGTTGAACGGCCTTTTCCATGTTGTCCCTTTTCTTGAACTTGATTATATAGTAATCTTCACCCAAATCAATCATTTGGAGATCCTCCGTTGGTCTCCAAAGATCTTGAATTTTCTTTTGCAAATAGTGGTGCATCATACGTTTGCCCACTAATTTCACTATGATGGCATACTTCCAAGGTTCATATATTCTTTGCCTATCTTCTTCTGACAAAGCAATAACCTTTATACCTTTTGTAGAGGGTGATTCCGAATTGTCATCCCTCACTTCCCCTTGAGAGATATCAGTTAGTTCTATGTCCTTAATGATTAGGTTTGCATCAAATATAGCCGAATTTGATGTTATTAGCATGTCCTTGAAGGATGGTTTGGTATCTAGGTTGGATTGACTGGAAATTTCCTGCTCAATATCCGGTGGTTTGGGTGGTTTTTGGCTTGGGGTTCATGGTTTTGGAGTTGCATTTGGATTGTTGAGAGGAGTTTTTTGGTGCACTTGCATTCATCCGTTGTTTCCTTGAACGATAACTATTAAATTTACTAAAATATGTTTAACTATATTATAAATATTAGATTTATCAACAATTACTATAAAAACAATTAAAGACAACTTCATTTTTCAAATTTATAGTCTTAGCAAAAATAACAAAGTGTGGATGGAGGATATATTGGTAAAAGGGATAGAAAAGAAGGGTAGCGGTAAATGAACTTGAAATCTGAGGTAATAGAGGAATCAAAAATAGATGGGAAAGAGAAATAAGGTATTGCTCCAACCACTTCAAATAGGTCATTACTTATAATGCGTCTTTTTGTTTTTACGTAATATTGGATTTAATAATACAATATAATAAATTTTAAACAATCAGATCCAGAGTTTATTATTGTTCTGATTCGTAATAAAAGTACAATACAATGAGTAACAACCATCCAAACGAGCTATTTCTTCTGTTTCGATTTGTTTGACATAGTTTGAATCAACATGAGATTCTGTCAATTTGAAATGTCATGCGCAGCAGAGATTCTGAATGGTGGTTAGTGGTTACTATGTTCGCTTTGCTCGATCAGGTTCTCTTGATCCTCTTCTTCCTCATAATTAAGTATACCTTAATTTTTAAAAATGACAAGTATTTTGGACCTATTCTTTTTAATAACAACGACAACTAAAATGGACCGGAGAAAGTATGAGCTAGGAGTCTAGTAAAAGCATGCAGTCTAAGAATCTGTCACGACCCAAAATCCCCACTTCGGGTCCGTGATGGCGCCTAACACTGTTTACTAGGCAAGCCAACACAACAAGATAATGCAGAAAGAAAAGCAATAAATATTTGACAATTGATCAACAACATAACGTAAATCACCCAAAGATTTGATGTCACAAGTGTTTGATCGTCTAGATCCAGCTAAATATAAGGGTTGGAACGAAATACAACACTATCCGAAATAAAATGAAAACGGTACCAAAAAATAGGAAACTGACTCTAATTTCTACGAATGGGATGCAGCTCTACCTCGAACCACTATACTTTGGTAGCTGCTAAGTACCTCTCGGGATTCCGCTAGTACCAACGTCAAAATCTACATAAGAAGTGTAGAAGTTTAGTATGAGTAAACCCGACCCAATATACTCAGCAAATGTCGAGTCTAACCCCAACGTGGTAGTGACGAGGCTAAGACAAGACACCTACTAAAAATCTGTGCAAATATATATATATATATATATATATATATATATATATATATATATATATAAAGCAACAGAAATAACAAGTAAAGTATCAAAAGTAATAACGAGGTAGGGACATATAAAAGGGGCAACAATCGGAACAAGATGTAACGATCGACAGGTCATTTTGAGAGTTCTAGCCCCGTTTCCCAATTTGCTGCTCATTTTATGCTTTACAGTTATTATTTGACTTGCCGGGGTAGTTGGTTCCCGTCCGGAGAGGTTTCAAAATGAGTTGACATACTTAGTCTCAAGTTTGAAAGCTTAAGTTGAAATGATTGACCGTATGTTGACTTATGGGTAAACGACTCGGAATGGAGTTTAGATGGTTCCATTAGCTCAATTGGGTGATTTTGGACTTTAGGAGCGTGTCCGAATTGTGATTTGGAGGTCCGTAGTGGAATTAGGCTTGAAATGGCGAAAATTGAAAATTTGGAAGTTTGACCAAGAGTGGACTTTATGGTTACCGGGCTCGAATTGGGCTTCCAGGAGTTAGAGTAGGTCCATGGTGTCATTTTAGACTTGTGTGCAAAATTTGAGGTCAATCGGACGAGATTTGATAGGTTTCGGCGTCGAGTGTAGAAATTAAAAGTTCAAAGTTCATTAGGCTTGAATCTATGCGCGATTCATGATTTTAGCATTGTTTGATGTGATTTGAGGGCACGACTAAGTTCGTATGATGTTTTGGGACTTGAGGGTATGTTTGGTTGAGGTCCCGGGGGCCTCGGGTGAGTTTCAGATGGTTAAAGGATTGATTTTGAACTTGGTGTTATGGCTGAAGATTTTGTGGTGTCTGTATCTAGTTCCCTTATACGCGATCGCGTGGTAAGGTCCGCGATCGCGTAGGCTTGTTTGGGGAAATGGTGATTTTTTCCCTATGCTTTCGTGAGTTGTGGTACGCGATCGCGTAGGTTTGACTAGGCAGTGCCTCGCGAACGCGCGGGCATTGCCGCGTTCGCGAATAGGTGAGGAGGCAACTGGTTCTCACGCGTTTGTGCTTTGCGATCGCGTGAGGAGAGATGCGATCGCGTAGGTTGGAGGAAGCTATGGTTCGCGTTCGTGTGAGGTCTCCATGTTCGCGTAAGGTAAGTTAGTGGGGCAGACTGTTTCTTGCTACGCGAACGCGGGAAGATAGACGCGTTCGCGGTGAAGGATAACTGGGCAGCAGTATTAAATTTATAAAAAAAATGAGGGTTTGAGTTCATAACACAAATTTGATTTTTGGAGCTCGGTGGGAGGCGATTCTTGGTGAGAGTTTCAAGTGGGTGATTGGGGTAAGTGATTCTTATCTAGTTTTGGTTAATTTCCATGTTTGTGCCTTTGATTTCATCATTAAATTAGTGATTTGGGGTGAAAAATGGGGATAAATGGAGAGAAGTTCTTAGGCAAATTTGAGGTTTTGATCGAGATTTTGGTATCGGATTTGAGTAATTTTGGTATGGTCGGACTCGTGGATGAATGGGTATTCGAATTTTGTGACTTTTACCAGATTCTGAGACGTGGCCCTGGGGGCCGGCTTTTAGTTGACTTTTTGACTTTTGATTTTAAAGCTTCATATTTTCTTATGGAATTGATTCCTTTAGCTCGTGTTGATCGTATCGAATTGTTTGTGGCTAGATTCGAGGCAGCCAGAGGCTGTTTCGCGAGGCAAAGGTGTGTTGGATTAGAGATTTGCACGGTCTGAGGTAAGTAACACTTCTAAATTTGGTCCTGAGGGTACGAAACCCCGAATTATATGTTATGCGATTGGTGTTGAGGTGACGGACATGCTAGGTGACAGGCGTTTGGGCATGCACCGTAAGAACTATGACTTGGTCAATTCCATGGAATTGTATAGTTGATTTATCTTGTTGTTATCCATATTCTTATCATGTGATAAAGTAATTAAAATGCCAATCATGCTAGAAATCATGTTTAGGCTATATGCTGGTACTGTTGGGACCCACAAAAGTCGTTCCTTGCTGTTGAGTTAATTGTTTAATTGCAGTCATGTACTTAGTCATATGCATCATTCATATCATATCTTAGTCTCTGTTATTGTACATTGTCACATTTCATATCATTAATTAGGGCTGCTTAGTATGAGCGTTGTGAGCCCGAGAGATTGGAGAGGTTGATGACTGAGTGAGGTCGAGGGCCTGATTGTGAGTGGTATTTATGGGATCGGGCTGCACGCCACAACATGTTTTATTTATTTATGCCTGGATATGGCTTATTTTAGCGCTTGGGCTGAAGGAGCTCCTCCGGAGTCTGCACACTCACAGTGAGCGCAATTGATCTATATTGAGGGATGGATCTTCCCTGGGCATAGATCTATTTAGGGATGGAATTTCCCTGGGCTGGATTGGCCTTATGCAGTACTGAGTGACTGACTGTTAGTTGATATATATATTTGGGATAGACTTTCCCTAGGCTGGGTTGGCCATATACAGTACTGAGTGATTGAGCATTCTTAGAGCGTGATTACGCGAGGCTTCCATTGTAGTGAATCACATACAACATGCACAGTGGCATGTAGATATAGAAATGTCATATCCCTCCTATCATTCAGAGTTGATCTATTTTACTTGTATTGAGTTTTTATCTGATGAACTTGTAACCATGCCTAAATTTCTCTACTGTTATTTTTAAATTGAATTGTAACTGCTGAGATCGTCATTGCTTTCAGTCCAAAGGTTAGATTATTTATTGAGTTGGTTGTACTCATGCTACACCCTGGACCTCGTGTGCAGATCCAGGTGCTTCAGGTCACGGCGGTTGCTGAGTTGTGGAGTCCAGACCTTCGGAGATCATCGAGGTAGTTTCTTGGCGTTTTCATACCTTGACTCTCCTCCCTTATCTTTCATTTTATTGTTTAGTTTTGTTGTTTAGACGGTGTACCAGACTATACCTTAACGTAGATGCTCATGTGCCCGGTGACACCCAGTTTTGAGAGAGTTTATGTATTGAATCATGACTTCCAATCCTGTTTTTAAAAGATTTTTTAATTAACTATTTCCGTATCATGCATAGATTTAAAGTGTTGGAAATGTCAATGTAGTCGGCTGGCCTTGTACAATGATAGGCACCATCACGACAGGTTGGTTTTGGGTCGCGACAACTTGGTATCAGAGCCTAGGTTACGTAGGTCTCACGAGTCATGAGTAGGTTTAGTAGAGTCTTGTGGATCGGTACGGAGACATCTGTACTTATCTTCGAGAGGCTACCAAACCCTTAGGAAACTTCACATTTTTGTATTCTTGTCGTGCAGATTTGTTAATTCCGGAAACTAAACTTCTGTTATTCTATTCTCTCACAGGTGGTGAGGACACATGCTACCGGACAGGATGGATAGCCACTAGTGCCACCAGCTAGGGCCACGAGAGGCCGAGGATGCGGTAAGGGCCGCGGTGGGGGCAGAGGTACAGCTCGTACGGCAGCTAGAGCAGCACCTGTAGACCCACCAGTTGCTCCAGCTCAGGAGCAAGTTCTAGATGTGGTTGAGCAGGTGGGTCGACTCAGGCACCAGTTGTGCCCATTGTAATTCCAGGACTTCAGGAGGCATTGGCTCAGATTTTGACTGTGTGCACCAGCCTTGCTGAGGCGTTCTTGGTTCCGGCAGTAGCAGCTAGGTGCTGTAGAGACTTTAGACA